AACTATTATTTAGCACTTTTAAATTGTAGTTCTTTGGATTATAACTGAACCAAAGTCTTGTCAAGGAATTTTAAAAGGAAAAAGTCACATATTCACAGTTTTTTTAGCGTCTATAAAATATCTCAGTAAATATCGTACCGTGAGATGTATATCGTGAAAATATCTTACAGAGAGATCTGGATACATCCCTAGTATTAACACAGGTTAGGATGGAGGTCTAAACTTGAACTGGAACAATGAAAAATAATAATATCTTTTAATCTGAAATGAGCATGTTAATATTTGAGTCAAAATTTGCTCTAAAACATGCCAAGGAAACGGCACAATCGTAGCAATTTTACTATTTAAAGGAACTGTATGTATCCTGCGCTCTTATTGATGTAAAAAATGTATTATAATCAAACCTGGACCTGGGGTGACAGAGCCTGAATCTGCAGATTGAGGTTTTTCACATTCAGGTTGTTCTTATTCTCACTATACGGACAGGGCTCATGTGCAGGGGCGGAGTTAGCAATTTGGGGGCCCTAGGTGAACTTGAGTTTGTGGACCTCACTATAATGCACAATTTTTCAGTTTTGTTTTGTTTTGAATATATTGGCGAGTTTCATTGTTGACAAAAGCGTGCGTTGCATGCTGGGAATTATTTTGGTCGGCGGCAAGAAACACTAATTCAACATGACGGACGGAGCGAGAAAGCACATAAAGGGTATTGATCCCGGTTATTTATCCACTCTAACGGCAGAGGACCCAAGACCATTTGACCAGAAGTTGGTCATAAGCATCGATGGACGACAAATCACCCTTTTCAACCCCGACAAAAGCCTGGACCAAACCAAATTTCTGGTCAGAATCACCAACTACCTGGACAAATATTCACTTTGGTGATATCCACAATGACTTGGTGGAAACTCCTGGGCCATTCACAGCAGAAAAGATGAAAACCTCCAAGAGTCTCGATGTGTTGTTGAACTTGTTGGAGTCCACAGTTTGTTAGGATCTTCTACGTTTGCTCTGCGGATGTTTGAAAGCCGTTTAATTCACCGTTAGCAGTTCTTTTCACTCAAAATACGAAAAAGACATTTTCCTTCTTCCGTGCTTCTATTTGTGCATCCGATAATGCAGCAGGAATTTACCATTATCAGGGATAAATACGCGAGGTTACGCACTGTGTTTGACCACTACCGTGTTTCTTGCCTCCGACCAAAATATTTCCCAGCATGCAATTCCATATTTGTTTACATCTATTGCATACGATTATGATTATTTTTCTTATGATTATTGTTTAAAAGTAAACTACTCTCATTTAATGTCATATTGAGAGAAAATCTAATTGCTCTGAGGCCTCATCCGTTAGTGGCACTGAGGGTAATAGGTTGGGGGCCCTTCCAGTTTTGGGGGCCCTAGGCAGCCGCTTACTTTTGCCTAATGGTAGCACCGCCTCTGCTCATGTGAAAGCTCAGAACCTCCAGAGTTCACTGCACTAACACTGATTCATGACTGGCTGCAGGTGCTGGGGTTTAAATAGTGACCATTCAGATCAGAGAAAGGCATTTTAGAACAGTTAGATTTCAGCACTTAAACTGGCAACCCAAGTGACAGATGCACGTGACGCTCATTCTGTTTCTGATTGGATTATCAGATAGAGACACAAAACACCAGATTCTATTCACACTTACGTCACAAACCAGGAAGACGTTTGGAAACAATGTGATGACAACTTCTGGTGTAGTTCCCGACACTGGACTCACCGACCGACTGTGATCAAACCCACTGAAGTAAATGTGATCAGAGGTCAAATGAAGACTGCAGACGTATGTGCTATTTGGAATCATCTGGAATGTGTCTCTCATCTCTTCTAATCACATGTACCAGTGTGCTCATGTGTCAGTGGAGAAATGATGAAAACTGAGGTATAATTAATTATTAATTAATTAATCATTGCATTTATAAAACACCTTTTAAGATACTCAAAGCACTTTACAGTTCATTATTCATTCACTCAACACTCAGTGGTGTTAAACTACTACTGTAGCCACAGCTGCCCTGGGGCAGACTGATGGAAGCGAGGCCGCCAATCTGCACCATCGGCCCCTCTGACCACCATCACTCACGCACACACACACACCACTTTTCATACTAGGCAATGTGGGTGAAGTGTCTTGCCTAAGGACACAATGGCAGTTTTTGCCACTGGCGCCCCCCTGTGGCTCCTGACTGTCCCACTGGTTTCCCATCCAAGTTCTAACCAGGCCCTGCCGGAAGTTGTCATCACATGTTTCCAAACATCTTCCTGGTTTGGGACATAAGTGTGAATAGAGTCTATTATAACACAAATAAACAAGACACCAACATTTAACAAGAAATCAGCTTGTTATCAGTAAAAGTTATATGTGATTTATGAAATTTTAAATCAAAATCTTACATACAGTTCCTTAATTCTTTTTTTTTTTTTTGTCCTGAGTTTGAAATGATAGGCCCTTTACATTGTTACGACTTCACATGAACGCAACCTGTTGTGCCCAAAACTGTGAACTATAAAGAGTCCTGCTGGGAAACAATGTGAATAGTGGTCAAAGCTGTACACTACTACTACTATCACTACAAAGTATCTGTTATTTATCGACAGTTCACTGAATTCTTTGTGTTTGCTGAGTCTGTCACTTACACTGGTGAAGTCTCCTCGCCCTACAGCAAACACTACACAAGTGGAGGCTGTAATTTTATATTTTTGTTAAAATATCGACTTGTATGACCACTATTCCAATTTTCCCCACAGTACGATCCAGTGCAGTTCACAGAAACAGGCTGATCTTGTTCATTATTGTCCGCTCCTAAACGTCAGGGAGGTAAAACCGACATCAGGACCTTCAGTCAGCCAAAACATTATGACCACACAAGGCTAACTGCTGATTGATACTTTGCAGCTGATGTGATACTTTGTATCCTGGTGGGTGAAGCTAACTGGAAGCACTGCTCTGTCTGAAGCTGAAGCTCTGTTACTCAACATAGACTTTAATCTGAGCTTTATTTTAACACAATCTGATCAGAAAGAATGGATTTAGCTGGAACTACAAAAGGCAAGCTGATTTGTGCCATGTCAAATAAACCAAAATCATAGCCAACAGTTGAAATTAAACTCCTAAACAGAACCATGAATATAGATCACAGGCTCCTGAAAATGTGCTGTTTAAATCCATTAAACATTTTTCTTGAGTTTTTAGATGATCTAAAAAAAATTATCAAGCAGTGTTTTGCTAATGGGTGAGTCCATATGAAATCAACCTCCCTCCCTTATGAGACATCTCAGATTTGGCTGAAAAAATGTCAAAAAATGTCTAAAATGACCAAATGAAAGAATCTCAAATTTTAGCTCAATCTCTTGAATCGTTCCTGAGCTATGGCCCGTTGAAATTTGGGGGCCATGCTCACTTTTTCAGACACCTTAATTTATAAGCATGTTTGAGAGACCAGAACTTCATAAAAATAGAGCTGGGAAGCTGAACATTTGTATTATTGGGCCCGGTCAAGCAGAAGTAAACATCAAGGCCAAAAACTCAAGTTAATGCATCTGATATAAAAATGTATTGAACAGATACATATGTACTCTAGTTTATGAAACTGTTGACCTTTTTTCTGTACCATTTTTGGTTCTAAAGTTCCATATGTTTTAAACAGACCATGTATGAAACATGGAACAAAAATTATTTCCCAAATTTCAAAGACCTGCAAATCATGTAAATAAATGGATGTATTTCATCATATCTTGTGTTATTCCATCTTTGAACTGTTGATGAAGGTACATGATTTTTTAAAAAAAAATGTATTTAAAATTATAAAAAATTGCTTGGAAGGACTGACATATTTTATAGAAATAGTTTCCTTTCATTTTGAAGTAATATTAAAGTATTCAGAAGAAAAAAAGTTGACAAATGATCAAAATCCTGCACCTTCTACTTGTTTGCACAATTTTCCCTCCGTTACTTTTCCCTCCGTTATCATGAACTTTCTTAATAAAAAATCTCATGAGTCAAAAAGTAAGAGGTTTTTCAGGCTAATCTTGTACCATATGGTAGAAAACTATATGAAGCAAATATTCAAACCAGTTTGTTAAGGATATGGAAGTGAGAACCAAGAGTTATCACTGTTTGGATTTATTTCCCAAAAAGTGCTGCATATTTCATTCCCTCTGTTACCGACATGAGTTTTAAAATTTTTTGTCAACAACTTGAAAGAATATCACAGGTTTAACTTGACCCTGTTGGAGTGTAACTCTTTCCTACATTCTGATACTTTACTTATTTCAATAGCCCCTCTAGTTTCTGAATAAGAGACATTTTTTATAGATTTTGGGGGCCCACAGCGCCCCCCTTAATAAAGATACTCAATATTTGACAACAGATTCAGAATCTATCACCAAGAATCTACAATAATACAAATGCTCAGCTTCCCAGATCTATTTTTTATGAAGTTCTGGTCTCTCAAACATGCTTATAAATTAAGGTGTCTGAAAAAGTGAGCATGGCCCCAACATTTCAACGGGCCATAGCTCAGGAACGATTCAAGGGATTGAGCTAAAATTTGAGATTCTTTCATTTGGTCATTTTAAATATTTTTTGAAATGTTTTCAGTCAAATCTGAGATGTCTCATAGGGGAGATTCCTCGAAAATGGCTGATTTCATATGGACTGACCCTCATGTGTGCATTATGTCACCATGGAAACTGCTTAACATTCTTCCATAGACATACGTGCAGCCCCTCTCCAGGATGATGTCACTGCAACGTATCAATAGACTATAAGTGAAATAAATACTAAACAACACATCCTAAACACACCGAGCCGCTCCTCTTGTCATAGTGTAATGGCTGATCAGGGCTAGAATACAGAATATATTGTTAGTCCAAAACACATGTGTCATTTTTAACCCAGTCTAACACACACCATAACCACTAACACACATACAGCTCCACAAAGCCGTACAGAGATAAGAGAGGGACTTACTGGTGGATGGCTTGGAGGAACTTGCGCTGGTGTTTGCGCACCTTGGCGTGATCGATCTTCTTCACCAGCTTGGTGTGTTTATAGATGAGCCATGTTTCCCTGAGTACATTGGCAGCTGTGTTCTTTACCTGAGGGCGAACGACACTTCAGTCTTTTCAGCACCACGGACAGCGCACGCTAAAGCAGCATTTCAGGATTTTCCTCTTTCAACTCACGAGGTAACAGGGCTCAAGGACTTTAGTTGTTTAATCGATTAATCGGTTGATAGTGTCATTGATCCTTTGGAGCTGATGTCATCCACTTTCTCTGGGGGTGTGCAGCTAACTGAAAGCACTGCTCTGTCTAAAGCTCTGTTATTCTTGTTATTAATCTGAGTTTTGTTTTAGCACAATCTGACCGTAAAGAACTGAGTTAAGTGGAATATTTCTATTTTTCTATCTTTCTATCTTTCTACCTATCTCTTTCTCCCTCACCCCCTCAGCCTGAGCAGCCCGGGTGCACTAGAGTAAACAGTATATAAACAGGTATAACCCTCCTGAGAGTTGCTGTGTTGCGCTGTGTGTGGTGGAGCCGTGTGGACTCACTCGTTTGCAGAGTTGAGTGTCCATCATGAAGTTGTGGACATGCTTCTCAGCCTTGGTCAGCTCCAGCTTCCTGGCCACCACAGCCACCACCAGCGCCGTGCAGCCCGCCCCCTTTGGCACCGCACATCACCAAGAAACACATTTAGACAATTAGCATAACATGTCTCCTTTAAAAAAATTAGATTAAAGGAACTCTACCCAAATATTTGACACTAATAAAATTAAATGGGACTTGGTCTAGTACAGATATATTGTAAATGTACAGTCCCTGACAAAAGTCTTGTCGCTTATCCATTTTGTAGAAACAAAAGCTTATAACCTGACTTTAAATAAATCGATCGGTTTTAGAAATGTCTCATATGAAGCTAAAACCCTCCCAAATTATGCTCAATATACTAAAATAAATTTGCTTCACTGAAGAAAGATTGATCATTTAATGAACTCAGAAAGGTCAGATTTTGGCAAGACAAAAGTTTTGTCGCCTACAGAAAATTGAACAAATAATTTACTTCAAATACAAAAATATGTTGCATAACGTCAGTGAATGAAGTAGTGGTGCTGTGAGATCCATATTTAATATCTTGTATGACTCCATGAGCTTGAAGGACGCATCCATGTGGTTCCACAATGATTCATACAATTTGTTGATGAAGTCATCAGGAATAGCAAAGAAAGCGTCTTACATGCCTCCCAGAGTTCATCAAGATTCTTTGGTTTTGTCTTCCATGCTTCCTCTTTCATTCTACCCCAGACCTGCTCAATGATGTTCATGTCTGGTGACTGGGCTGGCCAGTCCTGGAGCACCTTGATCTTCTTCACCTTGAGAAACTTTGATGTAGAGATAGAAGTATGTGATGGAGCACCATCCTGCTGCAAAATTTGACCCTTTTATGGTTGGGAATGTAAGAGGAGCTAATACTTCTTGATATTTTAGGTTATTGATATTTGCCTTCCACCCTGCAAATGTCTCGCACAGCCCCATACTGGATGGAACCCCAGACCAGGATTTTTCCACCACCAAACTTAACTGTTTTCTGGGTGAATCTTGGATCCATGCAGGCTCCAGTAGGTCTCCTGCAATATTTGCGGCGGCTGTGATGTAATTCAACCGAGGATTCATCTGAGAAATCCACCTTCTGCCACTTTTCCAGTGTCCATCCTTTTAACAGGCTGTGGGCCTTGGCAAATGCCACACACAATGGTTTTTTAATTGCCTTTTGTTTAGTGCTGGTTTCTGTGCACTGATTGGACCATGGAGGCCATTTCGAGACAGAATTCTACAAACTGTTGTGGTTGACACAGGGACTTGAGGTGACCAGGTCTGGTGGAGTCTGCTGCAGTGGAAAAGGGGCCTTGGATTTTTGAATCAACAAACGGTCCTCCCGAGCAGTTGTCTTGCGGCGTCTGCCGGACCTGGGCTTGTCAAAAACATCTCCAGTCATTTCAGATCTTTTTCTTGTTCTTTGTACTTGACACTGAGACACATTGAAGGTGTCACCACCTCAGCAGTGGATCTGGTCTTCAGCCTCTTGATAATTAACGCTTTGGTCTCAGGGTGGATCTTAGGCATGTTGTCAGAGGTCAAGTTGCAGTTGATGTGAAGGTCTGGTGTGCTGGGGTTCTTTTTATACACACCCACTAATTGATTGATCAGTAACTGATCACAGGTGAGGCTGTAATCTAGGATTGGGTGCATCATATGACAAGACGACAAGACTTTTGTCTTGCCAAAATCTGACCTTTCTGTGTTCATTAAATGATCAATCTTTCTTCAGTGAAGCAAATTTATTTTAGTATATTGAGCATAATTTGGGAGGGTTTTAGCTTTTATATGAGACATTTCTAAAAACCAATCGATTCATTTAAAGTCAGGTTATAAGCTTTTGTTTCTACAAAATGGATAAGTGACAAGACTTTTGTCAGGGACTGTACGTCTTAGAACACACTTGAGACCACACTGTGCCTGTACCATAGACTCTATAAATGGCTAACCTAGAAAGTGAGTATGGGCACGCTTCTGGCTCCATTTCACTTTCTATTGAAAAACTATGTCCCCTCTCTCTGTACCTGCTGCTGTCAGACTTCTCATTTTGGTCTTAAGATGTTCATATTAACTCACTCTACATGATTCTGGTAGTTTAATTTTGCTATTTTGTCTAGACATGAACATTAATAAGAGACCAATCAGGTGTCTTCTTTCCCTGAGGTCACTCCTCAACAGGTTTGATTGACAGCACTGATAAGCACAATAGATCTATAAATAAAACTGGATAAGTCCCTCCCCCTCTGTCTCGGCTCAAGACCGACTAGTGGCCGCTCCATTTACTGCAGCTCCAGGAGTTTGGGTTCAGATAGAATTCTCACAGAGAGCACAGTGCATTTTGGGAATTCAAACTGCCCATGTTCAGCTGACAGGGCATCCTGCTTTCACAAAGGTCAGATTTTGTAAGATTCTTTCCTATTTTAACAACATAAATGTTTTAAAAATGTTCAATCCTCAAAGCGGCTAAAAGTAACGTGCACAGCGTGGAGCCTTTTTGCTTACAGACATCACATGGGTGGGAGGAACTTTCCCAGATTGAGGAAGTAAATGTGGAAGAGAAAATAATTTTTTGGCCCATGTGCCATGGAGCACAGACCCCTGAAAAAACATGATGCCATCTTGGCTTCACCTTCAGATGTTATTATAGTTCTGTGCTAAGCACCTGCACCACTGATTTAGCAGGAAGTGGGTGCTTTGCAACGCTGTCAAAGGGAAGAGGAAGTACTTTTAGCACCCTCGCTGATGATTGGCAATTTGGTTGCTATGATACTCCAAATTTGCCGCTATACCCTCATGCCCCAATGAGCTTCATTTGACTGGAGCCGAGTGCTATGAGTGACATCACATGCACTTAACTCACTTCTTTATACAGTCTGTATCTAAATTTAAAGTGCACTATTAGAATGCTAGTTGTTGTTAGCATTTCTGTGATGGCAAACTTCACTTTGGTCTCAAAGTGGTGAAAAGTGCTTATAAACTCATCGTGTGAATAATGAGGATGCTCAGAATGCAGAAGAGCACTGCAAACTGTTACAATGAACTAATTCTGTTAGTTTTATGTTTTTAAGAGAGTAAAACAAACAGGTTAAGCACTTTAACAAAATCATATATATTCTAATAATAAAATATCTAAATAAATCAAGGTACGTACCATGATGCCGGTGAGCAGGCACACGCCTTTGCCACAGTAAGTATGTGGTACCATGTCTCCGTAGCCGATGGACAGGAAGGTGATGGAGATGAGCCACATGGCCCCCAGGAAGTTACTGGTCACTTCCTGTTTGTCATGATACCTGTGGGGGGGCGGAGACAAGCAGAGGCGGGCCAAGTCAGTCACAGTGGGCGGAGCTATCTGAAAACATGCATGCTGGGAAAGTGAGTGGAGAAGAAAGAATCAGTGCAACTAGGGGTTACACTGTGTGGAGTGGTCTGGTACAGTATGCATTCAGATTGTGGGTCAAAGCAGTTAGGAAAGACATTTTTAGAGAAGAGCGTTGTATGATTCAATGTAAACATCATCCATATGAAAAATGGTTTGATTTAAATGGCTCCATTAGGATACCATCCAAAATCCATGTCCCAAAGTCTTGTGGCAAACGTGGTCTTCAATCGAGATCTGACTGCTCCCCCAAAAGATTCACAGGAAGTTTCAAACATGTTGTGAGCTGAAGGAAGCAGACAGCCATGCTTGAATCGCCGAACGAAAGGCCCAAGTTCATTTGCAAATTAGAAATAACATCTATAAACCCGCAGGATGATTCTGTATCATTTAGCCCATCCTAACCTGTTCCCAATGGACTGTCAAGGAGGAGACTTTTTACTTTTCAAAATCAAAATTGCAAGAAAATGTCAATTAAAACCTTTTGACTTTTTGTTTTCAGTTTTAGCATTGTCCATTTATGATCATTCACAATTCATCTAGGCCTGTCATGATAATTACTATATCCACTTGGAGCAATATACATATAATATTTATGGTATGTTCACATTTTCTTTACATTAATGTGAATTTTTTGGTCATTTTTGCTTCTGTAATGTACGGAAGCTGAGAGGGGTCACAACAAACGCAAACGCCGCAACAAATACAAATGCGACAACACAACAAAAAGCCACAACAAACCAAAAAAGCCACAACGGAAATGACCGCGGGACTTTATTTTAATGCAAACGCTGTAACAAATACAAACGCCGCAACACAAACGCAAATGCCGCAACACATTAAAAGCCACAACACATCAAAAAGCCACAATGGAAGTGACCGCGGGACTCTATTTTCCGATGGACCGATCAAGCGGCAAGTGAAGAAGAAGAACTACAACGTGAAAAGTAAAGGAACGGGGAAGTTGGAAACGTAAGTAAAAGTAATTTATTGTTTTATCATTATTCGTTTCACGTTGTAGTTCTTCTTCTTCACTTGCCACTTGATCGGTCCGTCGGAAAATAGAGTCCCGTGGTCACTTCCTTTGTGGCTTTTTAATGTGTTGTGGCATTTGTGTTTGTGTTGTGGCGTTTGTATTTGTTGCGGCGTTTGCATTAAAATAGAGTCCCGTGGTCATTTCCGTTGTGGCTTTTTTTGGTTTGTTGTGGCTTTTTGTTGTGTTGTCGCATTTGTATTTGTTGCGGCGTTTGCGTTTGTTGTGATCCCTCTCGGCTTCCGTAGTAATGACATTTGAGCCATAAAAAGTTGAATAAATTACTTTTTTGACTCATTACAGATGCAGACTATGTACTAAAGTGTTTAATTCTGCTGTTTATTTATTGCAACTCATGTTTTTTTTAACAATATTGTAGATTTAGAATAGATTTTGAGATTAATTTGCTTTAGGGTTATGTCAGTTCATAAATTAACTTAAATATATCATTTATCGTCTATATTTTCTTCATGACAGGCCTAAACTCATCCCACACTGGAAATAGAAGAATAAAAGTCAGCTAAACTGTATTTTTTTTTTTTTTTTTGCTTTTTCTTCTGTTGCTTTTGACAATGGACAAGTTAGCTGTTGGAAGATGGTGTGAGTTTGAATTTGAACATCTCCTCCAGGACACTCCATTGCTGCTCATTGTGAACTGCTCATGCCTTTGCTGTGGTCCCATTCTGGTGGCTACTCATGCTCCTACAGATAGTTCAGTATTTTGTGAAGATACACGTGATTACCGAGGAACTGAGTGCGTCCCTGTTGTGGAAAGTGGTCCGCACAGTTTGGAGAAGCAAACAGGAGCTCAGCTAAAGGTGTGGACTTCAAGTTTCACTGTAATTTCTGTCCACCGATTCTGTTGGAACTATTTAGGCTGTTGTGATAATTACATAAAGATCGTCTGAAATCACATAGTTGCAGATTGTGGTGCTGAGTAAGTTATTAATGCATCAGCAACACAACCAAAGTTAAAATAATGTTTCTAATGTTGGCAGTTTATTCTGAATTTGAAAAGACCTTTAAGTGTCCCACTGTAGATTTGTAGAACTTCGGGTTAATGGTTTTCTGTGTGTAAATGTGTGTGTAAATGTGTGTTGTATTCTCCAGCAGCTTCATAAATCTGCCCCGTCACCAAATCTTCAACCAACAAGGTCCACAAAGAATAAACATGAAGAATTTATCCACAACTATCAAGAGAAGAAAGATGAAAAGTTAAAGGAAACAGCGACCACACATTAATGACACACTGAACAAAACTAATATTATGGTCATGAATAAAACAGAAGGAACTTGTGAAGTCAGACTGATTCTACAATTAAAATAAAAACTTAATTTCATGATGTGGATATTTGCATAGATAGATTAGTGAAGTTTGAATGTTACACATCTCTAGGACCATAACATTAGTTTTGTTCAGTGTGTCACTAATGCGTCGTCGTTGTTTCCTTTAAGCTTTCGACTTTCTTCTCTTGATAGTTGTGGATAAATTCTTCATGTCAGAATGTTTATCCTTTGTGGAGTTTGTTGGTTGAAGATTTGGTGACGGGGCAGATTTATGAAGCTGCTGGAGAATACGGCACACATTTACACACACATTTACACACACATTTTGCCACAGAAAACCATTAACCAGAAGTTCCACAAACCTACAGCGGGACACTTCTGGCCTTTGTGAAAAAGTTCTATAGTTTGATACTTGAATTTATAACTTTTCCATAAATTTGTTAAGTGTGATGCCACTTCCCAGGTCCATCAGCTGATTGAAAACTTTATTTTTTTTAAGACAGGACATCTCTTCTGTAATCTCATTTGTCAGAAAGAGATTACAGACGCTTAAACCTAACAAAGTCATAAACATGGATCTATGTTATAACTGTGACAGAAAATGTATGAGGGATGTTGATGTAAGAAGTAAATTAGCACTGGCCAGAAGTTAGTTAGATATACACTAATCCTCTGATATTATTGATTGATATTATATAGATTATTACTGCATTATGTACATTTTTTAAAAGGTGACTGTCTTTTGTTTAATGAATAAGGAACAAAACCAAAGCTAGAAATCAGCTGTGAAGTTTCTGGTTGGACCCGGAAGTGACATCAGCGTTAAACAACAACTGCAGCTTTTAGCCACGTTAGAATGTTATTACCTCCTCAAAAACTGCTCTGTTCCAACCTGTGATGTCATGTAGTGGCACTTTTCAAGGTAACAGATACCTTTTACCTTTAGTTCAGTACAGATTGGCAATTGTAGCACTGAAATGATCCAAATGGGCTCTATTCACGCTTACGTCACAAACCAGGAAGATGTTTGGAAACATGTGATGACAACTTGAACAGAGCCCAAAGGAAGTTGTCATCGCATGTTTCCAAACGTTTCCAATGTTTTCGCAACGTCTTCCTGGTGAATAGAGTCTATGATTCAAGTGAAGGTGCATGGATTTTGAAAACACGGTGGAGAACTTCCTGTATTACCACATGACATCAGAAGGCGGAACAGAGTGTTTTCGGTTTGAGAGAAGAACCCAGCCTAAATCTGCAGGGTTTGTGAGAGAATTAAACATGCGTGAATGAAACAAACCTCAACTCTAGGTGTGTTTGTGATGAGGAAACATTACGCAGATCAGAAAGTAACGTAATACTTCATGGACACGTCAAAACAAGATGCTCATGTCTGCTTCTCCAAACCTGCACGATTCACCCGCGTGTCATATTGAACCGTTTTCCTTTTTCCGTCGCTGTTGTCTCCTTTTCACAAAATACTGGACTATCCCGTTGGATGGGGGTACGGTTCTGGGTCGAGCACCGGGTTGGTAGGTCGGTTTGTTGTCTGGGGGATGGTTGGAGGGTGACTTTGGGCGTCATGCAGCAGCAGTCTGTACCATGCAGGGGGAGCTGTGCCCTGCATGCTCCAGGAAAAGGTCCAGTATATTGAGAGCTGCCTGGGTCTGCACTGGGACAAAAGACGACGCTCATTGAATTTGACACCGCTGTCTCTTTACCTGTCTCCTTGGGGCCCTGGCTCCATCTGCTAGCTAAATATTGTAATAGGCTGCGTTCACAAAAGAGATAATAAAACTCTAGAGGAATGACAGTTTGAACTTTCTTAGGGATCAATACAGTATCAGTCACTACTTTCATTGTTTTTTAAATATAATTATGTCTTATTTGACACGAGTCTCTTGTTATTTTTGCTGCTTAATTTGAATTTATTATCACCATTTATGTTTTTACTCTTAGTTATTATATTATATTGTGACGTGTGAGCTACTGTGTCCAAATCATTTCCCTTGTGGATCAATAAAGTTTGTCTAAGTCTAAGTCTAATCTATTTATTTATCTTTATTGAAAAAGTTTAATATAAAAATCAATACTTGTTATTATGAAACTTTTTTGGCACCTCCATCAGAAAAAGTTACTGTCTCCATGGTGATTGTGATTGTGTTGCCTTAGACGTTCCACTGTGTAGGATTAGATTTACTGTATTTTCCGGGCTCTGGATTATAAAACGCACTGTCATTAAATGGTCTATTTTTGAACTTTTTTCACAAATAAACCTCACTGGACTTTAAAGGAAACACAACAGTGTGATGGGTGAGTGGTTTTGTTTGTTTGTTCGTTCACGGTGACTCTGGGCTTTGTTCAGTTGTGGCGTGTAGGGAAGGTGCTGTCTGGGACCAACGGATTGTCGGCGTGTTCACAGTGACTCAGTTGTTCAGTTGTGTCTAGAAGTGGCACATTGCACTCGCTTTTTCGGTTTGTTCCTCCGTTCCGTTCCTCGTCAGCGTGGAGTGATGAGTGTGTCTGTGTGTGTTTCGCTGTCTGCTCCGTGTGTGTTTGTGTGTTCTGCGGGTGGTGCGGCTTTGTAGTTTACTAAA